AGAGAGAGAGAGAGAGAGAGAGAGAGGGCGTTGTGTGTGTTTGTGTGTGTGTATACACTGTATACACACACACACACACACACACACATATATACACATATATATATATATATATATATATATATAGAGAGAGAGAGAGAGAGAGTGAGAGAACTGTGTATGTATATAGCGAGACAGGGTGGGGGAGAGACAATTAAAGGGTTGGGGAGAGAGAACGAAGAGAAAAAAGAGCGTAAAAGGAGGTCTTTTCCGACGCTGTCTCCACACATGCCATATCAGATATGGCGTGAACTCCAACATTTCTATAGACTAATCGCTACTAGATATAGCTAATGTGGTAGATGTTATATTAGCCACGATAACTGCTCAAAACATACACTTTTATGGACAATAATCATGATCTATCCGGAAGTCAAGTTCAATAACTGATATATATATATAGGAGTCAGGGAGGTAAACGCAATATATACTTTTTCACTTGACTGCAAGAGAAACAGAGATGGAGAGAAAGAGAGGGAGTGAGAGAGAGAGATACAAAGAGCGAGAGACTACCATTACTCCGCGAAAGAAACAACTGGTAAAAGGGCAATAACCAACAAATTATTTTGGCGACAGTTAAAATGTAGTTGTATCCCTTTGTTAAAAAAAATCGAAAAGTGCCTTACGCATATCTACGAATGCTTGTGTTTCAGAAACTAGGGTCCCCATTTAAATTTTATATATATAATATATTTAGCTACATTGTTGCCTCTGCTTTAGAAACACTCAATATAGGAACTTTTCGAGACACGAACTTGTGATGTAGTGTTTGGGAGCGCGTACATAATGGCTACGTCGCAATGATCTGGTATTACAACGCAACAAGTGGTGTGTGCAACGCATGCTGAAACTACGTTGTGTGTGTGTGCGCGTGTGTATGCGTGTGTGTCTATATCGGTAGTTGTATAATCAAGCAATAGAAAAAGTAAAGTAAAGGACCCTTTTCCATGCCTTTAGGCGTATAGGGCATATAGGGCTAGACCTATATTTTCATAGACCAAGCGGCACAAGATGGGTGATGTGGTCAGCATAACGCCGGCCGCCTTTACTTCGCAGGACTGCACCCGGTACCCACTCAAGGCTGAGTCGACCTTGGAGCCAAGGTCATTTTTAAAAATAGTCCGACTCCCACAAAGTAAAGATCCCTCTACACGCCCTTAAGCGCATCGGGCATATGGGAAGAGCACCCATATTTTTACAAACCAATCGGCACTCGGTGGGTAATGTGGTCAGCATTTCGAATCAAGCAATACAATTTATTTATATACATGCATAACAATTCAAATTACTTTTAGATATCGTGCATCATTTGCAACATGAGAGAACCAAAAAAAAAAAAAAAAAAAAATTAAGACAGAAAAATAGGGGAAAATAGCAACAAAAATAAAGAAAGTGATGATAGGAAACTGAGAAAGCGGTCGGTGAAACTGAATTATGCAAGCAGTGTAACATTTCTAAGTCACGTTCTTTTTGAGATACGAACACCATTCAGGAACGAAATGAGTTCGCCAGTCGAGGTTACTGTGGCTTAGGCGCTTATAGGTGGCAGTACCCGGTTGGAGACCAGCTGTGATTTGGCAGCAGACCGATTTGTGATGATTTCCATCAATGGTGTTTAGCAGCAGTGAAAAACTACTAAACCTTATTATATATTTATAATTACTCTCAAAAACGCAATAATATTATTAACAAAATTTAACTACTACGCATTTAAACAAGGCGGGAGCCCGTTCAGCGCCACCTGTGCACAGATTTCTTTGTGGAAGCATGACTGAACGCCATATTATGTAAGCAAAGCTAATGAAACTATTGGTGACATGCTTGGTGCTGTGTCAGGATGAATAAGCCGCCTCCATGTTCTCTAAAGATATAATGCAAACGGAGTTAGAAGCGTTTTCCAAAGACAGCAGAGGCAGACATACAGATATATTAGATAGCTAGATTTATTGACTGAATCGACAGACAGTAGCGGCTAGTAATAAGCTCATCATAAAAGCAGCAACTGCAGGAGCAACATCAGCTTCAGTAGCAGCAGCTGCTGCAAAACCAACAGCAACAACAACAACAAGAACCGTTGCATTGTTAGAACATTCACGATGTAAACCATTCAGATATGCACCGCTACGATGGCAGCCATCTTTCGCAGCCCGTATTTTAAACATTGCACGGTGCACTTAAATATACCGAAAATAACCGCAACCGTTGCTGAAAATACCCGCACACCTCAAGTATGTTTCTCCCTGCATGGCTGGGTTGGTTTCAACTTTTGAGTGTATAATCAGTCTGTATGGATATTCAGGTGTGTGTGTGTGTTCGGTTCCGCCCAGCGCCATCTTGTGTTGTATGTTCTGTTACCTTGGTGAAAGTGCTGTTGTGTTTTATTACTTTTCTGGTAAATTTATATGTGTTGGAGATGGACGGACGTAGACATGGGGGGGGGGGGGGGTGGGGGTAGGGGAGTAGGAAAGGGAAAATGTAAACAGGGTACTGAGGACCGGAATAAGGGAAAGGGTGATCATGTAACAAGACTTTATGGGAGATGTGTGTCTGTCTCTCTGTATGCCCATCTGTCCGTCTACCACCCCACCCATCTACCTACCAGCCTGTCTATTAACAATTCCATCCATCCATTCATCTATCCATCCATCCATTTACCTGCCTACCTACATTATTAAGTATCTCTTTACCTATCCATCTGTCTGTCTATCTATTAATCTATGTATGTAAGTGAACCCTGTGGGTTCCAGCAAAAGAACATTCAGTCTATACTGTTATCATTTTTTTTTCTCTAGTGTGTGTTCTATCCAACGTTAGCGTATTCCTTCCACCTCACGGCTCCACTTAAACTGAACAGCTGGGGTGGGTAAACAAAAAAAAAAAAAACTATCTAATTCCTCAATTAACATAAGCTAAGTGGCACACAACAAGCCGGTGAACTAGTTTGCAATACACGAGAATCCATCATAGACATCAGGTAAATTCACACACCAGTAGCTGGAGTTGAGCAGTTTCACTAGTGGCTTGTCATTAACTGTGATAAATGAAACTGAAACCATTTTGTTTTCTGTTTTAGGGACGGGGGTATAAAAAAAAAAAAGCAAACTGGTCAATTTCTCTCATAAATCGTAACTAATCACAAGAGCAGCAAGGTGATGGAGTTTTTCTGTCGGGGGGCAAATATTAAACATCCTAACCTGCACAAATCGTGTCGGCAGCACCAGCCACGAGACCCTGAATCCTCAGCCTGATGACTCCTTGTTTATACCGCCCTTAAAAAGTGGCGAAGAGACAATTAGCAGCGTATCCTTTACAGGACATTGCATAACCAACTCCTGCATTTATTGGTTGTAGTGATATTTCTCGGCAAATTTTACTTTCAGTAGTTTGCCATTGCCCACTGAACGGTCAGCTTTCGGTACCACTGTCGAAACCAGCGCAAGACGAATCGTCTGTAGCAGGGTTCGAACCCGGCACTCCGACGTTACGAAGCGCGTTCGCAACGCCTAAGCAAATGACGCCGACAAAACGACAGGAGTGACAGAAAAATCTCAACAACCCAATGCTAGAAATGTTCCACATGACTGACTACTCTTATCTACCCTAGTTACTAAAATCTATTTTATTCTTCTTCTTCTGCCTTTCTATCCCCCAATGGAGCATAGGCCCTCAACCAACTCACGCCAAGTCGTTCTATCCTTCGCCATTACATGGAGCTCTCCACATGTCCTCCCCATCTTTCTAACTTCATTCTCCAGCTCTTTTCTCCAAGTGTTTTTTGGCCTTCCTTTATTCCTATGCCCCTGTGGGTTCCAATGCAGACATTCTAGTTATGCTGTTCTCCTGTTTTCTCAGCGTGTGTTACCTATCCAACGCCGGCGTCTTTTCCTCACCTCTTGGTCCACTGGAGCCTATTTTAGTCATCAATATTAATATATTTTCAGCAGATAATATAATCAATGTTTTGATAATTCATAATCTAGTCTTTATCGGTCACCAAGTTAATGAATGTCCTTACCCACACAGGGCTGTAGGTTATATCCGGCTTATGTAGCCGTTACAAATGTCCTAATTATTATTTCTTTGGGGGTTGCGCAATGTATCCAGGATTCACTCCGTTGGCTTGCCATACCTACCGAGACTGTGGTGTAATCTTAGGCTGTCACACTTGTAAATAGCAGCCCGGAGGGGAAAACAGATTGTATCAGATCAGTCTTCTTCGTGTAAGAGGAAAAAATAACTCACTGCTTTCCGGGGTGACAATGAAGCAGAAGAATATTTTTATATACTTAAAAACAACATAAATCGCCTTCAGGGCATTCCCTTAAGTGCTACGTCCTTGTCTTCAGCAGCCAACGAAGAGTTTCAGTTGTGGTCGTGCCAGTAGCAGTTTGAGTGTCTGCTGCAACATTACTACTCAATCCCTTTCCCAATTATCTATCGCGGTTGTGCATTGTGTACTTGCTCTCAAAGAGAGCATATCTAGCAATAAGTCATCAGTGTAGCAACGCAACCCAGTCTGTCTGCATGCTCATTTACTTGTTTGAACGAATCATTAGTAAGAGACTTGAACAACCGCAGTGCACACAGTTTACAAATTCGCTAGACAAGCACAGAGTGAGAATCTTTGTGGGTCGAAATAACATGCGTTACATTTGTCAGGTACTGATCCGCACTGATAGAAGTAAGCAGCAGCGACAATAGTTGGGCTGTTAAATAAATAGTAGGTAATCTCTAAACAACTATGCACAGAAAGTTTAAGGCAAAGAAGAGACAAATGTTTGATTTGTTAATTCATAACGAGTGGTCAAAAGGTTGGGTGGGTTGCATTGGAACTCGTCGTTTCTGTTCTGTTAGCTATTTCGTTATAATTTGTTTTGTATTTACTTATTTTTAGAAGAAGTCAGTTAGTAGAAATAACTAGATAAACTCATGCACATGCGTTTGTCAACGTGCGGACCTACTTGCTGTGACTCAGGGGAAATCCCCGAGAATGTCCTGTTTCTGAGAAGTTCCGATGATTGAGTACTTGCCACTTGCGGGTATTCCCCTTGTTTTGGTGTCAAAGAACGTTGTAAGTGTTCTGTGGTTGTAAACTGTGTCCTGTAAGCTTCTTCGTGTGGTCTGGGAGATGGAAAATACGGGCCTGCGCCTTTGTGCTTGGAAACAATTTCATTGACGACGTACTGCACTGATTTAGATCCATCAGATCGTGGTGTTGACTCCCCAGAACCCGGGATGGCTTTAGCCAGATCGTAGTCTGGACCGTCGTAGAGGTCTACTTCATGTTGCAACCGTCTATCTGGGGTGATTTTCATAGAACCCGTGGTGTCTCTGGGTACTCCAGTATACCGTGGTGCCTGGTATGTTTTTGGTTCGGGCTGAGTTTGTTTTGGACGTTGGTGCGTTGCAGTTTCTATGTGTTTAGTAGTATATAAGCCAGCAATTTCCAGGGGAAACTTGTTTTCCTTTAGCGAAGAGCTGAAGACTTCCGCTTCTGGTTCTTTGAAATGCAGGGTTGCGTAAGTTCCTGGGGATTCGCTTGGCGTGGCTTGCTTGTAGGCGTACTTAGTGTGTGACCACGGCTGTTGCTGCTGCTGCTGTCCTGTGTATCTCTGCTGACGAGGCTGTCGCTGGTAATGTTGGTGGTCTTGATGTTTCAAGTATTTAATTTGTGATGAAGAGTCTCCATATTTCCTGGTTGAATCCCTTAAGGCTGGGACATTGTGGCGCCCGGAGAAGCTTGGTGGTGGGCGATACGATATTGATGACGATGACGAAGGAGGTGACACATACGCAACTCTTGAATCTGGGTGAGAGGAGGTCTTTCTGGTTACCCTGGGTGAGTACTGCGGCTTTGAGAAGGATGCTGGGGGTTCGTGAGCTGGCATGCGGTAGGGTATATCCCTGTCGGGAGTTGTGGATCCGCTGGGTGATCTACCTCGAGGTGGCTTTGTTGTCACAAATTTTAGCATTGCACGACTCCAACAACAGCTGCGCTCTCACTGGTTACGGATGAGACATCTTTCACGGTTGAATTCATTGGGGATACCCCAAACTTGCTGATCAGTCTGTGTGCGCAGATGGTTTTTATGAAGAAAGTATTTCCTCGTCGGGAGAAAAATAGTAATAATTCGAAAAACCTAACTGAACTCAGTTAAAGATTCAAACTGTACTAAATCTCTAAAAGCGTGTTTCCCCCTAACTTTGTTGACTACTACATAAATAGAAGATCAAAAGTCAACACTGTCGTTAGTTCCAGGGTCTTCTTAAGTAGCCTGGAGCTTGATATGTTCTTGGTTTAGATTTAGTGTGTTTATGCGTGCCTGCTTGAGCTTAGCTAACTTTCATAAAAGATCCGTTTGCTAAAACTTCCTTTGAAATAATATACTTGATTTTCAGAAGTGAACCTTCAAAAGAAGAAAACCGGGAAAACCATAATTTCTATTAATATCCTAACAGTTCAGTCACTTGGTTTGTCCGTTAACACTTTGCTTCTATTTCCGGGTTGATGTTGGGAATTTGAATTTGTTGACTACCAACAGGGGGTTTCCCCTTGAGTTGAAGATGCTGGCCTATTGTTTCGTCGCCTGCCATGGTCAGTTGGTTGTAATATTTGTGTATCGCTTCAGTCAGACGCTGAGAAAAAAGAAGTCATGGTGCATATCATCTGATAACACTGAAGTTAATTTGTGCAAAAAGTCAAAGACCATTTGAATGCCCCTGACGCAATGGTGTTATAAACTAATTGTAGTGTACTGCATTTACACGTGTATAGGCTGCACCCAGTTCCAGAGACAGAGACGATAATTTTAGGAAACAAATATTTTATCAGAGACCAAAACTAAAACAGTAGTACCCGTAACCAGTGAAAGATGGGTTGCGAAAGCTAGCCACAGACAGTTTATAAAGATATGGGTCTAGCACTATATTCACTATTGACAAAGACGGTAATGGCGCCCGTTATTTTAAAATACATTTTATACACAATACCAGTCATTCACGACACAACCAAAAAATTATTTCATTTCTAAAATAATTTTATCAAAGATAATCACTATACCCTGATCGGCTGTACTTTAAGACCAGATCACATATTTCTGGACATACTGGACACAGCTTAATTTAAACTATACAGTTACTATACAGTGTTCAGTTACGATTCGCCAAACTAAAAGATACTAATTTGTCGCAAAAATTAACATAACGAGAAATCTTTATACGATGATCAACAACTTTCCATTGTGCAAAATCAATCACTATAACAACAGGTGTAGTAGCTGCAGCCTCAGACGTTGTAGATGCAGCAGCAGCAGCAGCAACAGTAGTAGTAGTAGTATTAGCAGTATTAGCAACATTATTAGCAGTAGTAGCAGCAGTAGTAGTAGAAGCAGTAGTAGTAGTAGCAGCAAAAGCCGCAGCAGCAGTGGCAGTAGCAGTAATAGTTGGTGAAGTAGTAGAAGCAGCAGCAGTAGAAGCAGTAGAAGTAGTAGAAGTAATAGTAGTAATAGTAGTAGTATTAGTAGCCGAATTAGGATCAGCAGCAGCAGTAGTAGCATTAGTAGTCATAGCAGCAACAGTAGTAGTAGTAATGGTGGTAGTGATGGTTGTGGTGGCAGTAGTAGTAGTAGTAGTAGTGGTGGTGGTGGTGGTGGTAGTAGTAGTAGTAGTAGTAGTAGTAGTAGTAGTGGTGGTGGCAGTAGTAGTAGTAGTGGTGGTTTGTGGCAGTAGTAGTAGTAGTAGTAGTAGTAGTAGTAGTAGTAGTAGTAGTAGTAGTAGTAGTAGTAGTAGTAGTAGTAGTAGTAGTAGTAGTAGTAGTGGTGGTGGCAGTAGTAGTAGTAGTAGTGGTGGTGGTGGCAGTAGTAGTAGTAGTAGTAGTAGTAGTAGTAGTAGTAGTAGTAGTAGTAGTAGTAGTAGTGGTGGTGGCAGTAGTAGTAGTAGTAGTGGTGGTGGTGGCAGTAGTAGTAGTAGTAGTGGTGGTGGTGGTAGTAGTAATAGTAGTAGTAGTAGTAGTAGTAGTAGTAGTAGTAGTAGTAGCAGCAGCAGCAGCAGCAGCAGTAGTAGTAGTAGCAGCAGCAGCAGCAGTAGCAGCAGCAGCAGCGGCAGTAGTGTTAGCAGCAGTACCTATTATAATTAAAACACTCACAAAAAACAGCCACACAAGCTAACGTTGCCGAAATCACGCACGAAACATAACAGTTTTCCTGGCCAGAACCTAAACTAAATGTTACCACAAAAATAATTCCAGCAAAGTGTGGGTGTAACAAATAACGTGTGTGTTGTGTGGGCATACACATATTACTTATTTCACAAATTGTATTGGGAAAATTTATTGGTGACCTTTGTAAAACACAGGAAGGAGACAATTTTGGCCATGAGCAAGATTTTAATCCCTAACATTGGTGTCGGGATTCTCAAAATGTTAGCCTCGGGGTCCTGTGCATTTTTTTGCATCAAACTCCCCCCCCCCTCCCCCACCCCCACCCTCCTCAATTATTTGCTAGTATTAGGAACTTTTAAGCTTTTTCACCCCATCTCATCGGCTGTGAAATTTGATAGTGAATTCCTAGGTAGTTGCCTGGAAGGTCTAACTGTATTCCCGGGGGAGGGGGGAGGGGCGAGGGGGAGTATGTTGAGTGTTAGCTTCTTCTTCTTCTTCTTCTTCTTCTTCTTCTTCTTCTTCTTCTTCTTCTTCTTCTTCTTCTTCTTCTTCTTCTTCTTCTTCTTCTTCTTCTTCTTCTCGTTCGCCCGAAATAGATTATCTACATATACAATATCGTCTCTAGTATGAACGTCACTGTATTCTGTAGTTCACTTAGCGACCGTAAAGTTCGGCTTGATCCGGTGTTTATCTTGGGCAGACATTATGCAGTTGGATGCAAATTGGGGATCTATCGAGGCGGTTGGGAGAAGGGCAATTTTGCAGTTTCGATGGCGGTGTGTGTGTGTGTGTGTGTGTGTGTGTGTGTATATATATATATATATATATATATATATATATATATATATATATATATATATATATATATATATATATATATATGTACTAGTCGGTTAGGGTTAGATGCAGATAAGCTGACAGGTCAAGGATATTCACGGCGAAGTCACAAAGTTAGAACACCGCTTGCATACAAAGCACACTGAGGGCGACGAAAGAACGACAGTAACACACACTGTAACTGATGACGCCATAAACAATAAACGCTGAAAATAACCAACACATGACACGTCTAGAACACAGAGGTTTTAGTGTCGTAGGGCTACTGTTAAATGAACTAAGACTCTAACCCTAACTCCCCTATACTATAGGACCTCCATGGGAAATACCTAGGATTTTCCTACCTAACCTCACTGCCAACAAAATGGGTTGACAAAGCTAACCCTAACTCCCCTATACTATAGGACCTCCATGGGAAATACCTAGGATTTCCCTACCTAACCTCACTGCCAACAAAATGGGTTGACAAAGCTGAAAAGAACCCAATATTCTTATAATAATATGCTGTACTGGCTAAACTGCGGGTTTACTGGGCTAGCTGCTAAATTATCTTAAAAAATGTGTAAATCTAAAAAGTACTAACATGTTATTTAGCACATCCTCCTCCTTCTCCTCCTCCTCCTTCTTCTTCTTCTTCTTCCTCCTCCTCTTTGTGTTTCTCCTCCTCTTCATCCTTTTCCTTTTCTTTTCCTTCTACTACTACTGCTGTTACTGTTGATGCTCCTAATCCTCCCCCTCCACCAAGTGCAGATTGGTCTATAAAACAAAGATGTAGCAATGGGAGTAAATATTGTCCTTTACTTACTTGCTTACCCTAAACACAACACATTGTAAGGAAAAGAATCAAAACCTTTGATATGTGTCTCTTGCTGAAAAAGTTAAGAACCGCTGCTAAATTACTGCAGTAATGCAGGAAAGTATACGATTAACCTGCTAATTCACATCCTGTGCAAATGTCACATGACGAGGTTCACGCGAGGGCAATTTGAGATGTTGCTAAAATTACCCAGCTTCAAATGAGTCTAGTGTGCATTTCCTGAAATCATGGCGACATTTCGAAATACTAGATAGTCCGGATTCTTTCTGACCCGTGGGTCGTGTTTAAACGGTGTAAAGTCGACAGGATCGTCATCACTGCACTGGGTTTTATGCGATAAAACTCAGTCTCTCTCAGCGGAACGGCTAACCGCCTGTTGAAAGTCGTACAATGAGCGAACTCCATGGCTTAAATAACGATTCCCCCAAGGATCTCCGCATAAATGTCAAACGTCAACAAAATGACACAGTGTATGGAACGAATGCACCAGCTTCAGCGTGGAAGACAAACGATTTAACCGATGAGACACCGAGACGTTCGTGTAGCGCTCATGTTGTCATTGGCACCGTCTGTCCAGATGATTGTGTTCCACTGTGCCCTAAACTGCCCGTGATTATGCCAGTTAAGGCCTGGGAGGGAATTCCTTCTCTCCACAGCTGGCCAGTCATGCAGAGACCATATGTTACCCACGCTGCCTGATCCTTTACTTGGCCTGCTTTGTTAACTCTAAAATAAAGGTAGCACTAAGAGCTAAAAAAAAAAAAAAAAACGTTTTTCCGATTCTGTCTTTGTCTATGACCACTTCTTCTTAAAGTCAATACCGTGTGACGTTGGCAGTCATGTCTATCTACAGCTTTCTGTCTCGTGTACTTTCAATCAGCTCTGACACAGATGATCCTTCCACTGCCGCTCCTCCTTTCCAACTTTCCTACTGTGACGATGCACTCCAGTTTTCTCCTTCTCGTCACATGGAAAAAAAAAAAAAAATGTAGACTATCTCTTTCTGATGTGGGCATTTAGTTCTCTTCGTGAGTCAGTTTCTTTCAAGACATCCTCATTACTCTTTTTATCTGCCCAGGGTATTCTCATCATGTCTGTGACCTCATCGTACACTAATTAGCTAACCTATGTAGGTAACTTAAAGTACTTTCTTTACCCCA